TTTTTCTCCGGTACCGGGAACTGAACTCACGACCTTGCGCTTGCCAGGCAGGTGCTTTGCCGCTGAGCTAAATCCCCAGCCCCTGAACTGAAGTCTTTCTAACGAGGAGTAATTTATATTTTTGGAAGAATATAATAGCTATAAATATAAATGTAATATTTACATTATATGGAAACCTAGGTGTTAACCCCAAAACACAGTTGAATATTGGAATAAGAGCCTTACTGGGGGGTGTTAATATATCTAATGAAAAAAACCCTACATTATCACTGTACTATGCTTCTTTTCTAATCTCTCAATGGTATTTGCTACATTACCTCTTGTTTTTATGTTATATTATCTCTAACATACTTGGTGAGCTTTTCATTTTGTATATATAGTATTTACATTCTGGACAGATAATTGTCTGCCATTTAACTTTAGCCTGTTGAATTTTCTTCACTTTGAAGTTGCCCTTACAGAATAAATTGAAAATTTCTCTATCTCCATTCTTTCTTTGGAAGAACTTACCTGCAATTTGTATTATTTGTTAATATACTTTCTATCAGAATCATAAGTAAAGCTGTATCCTGTTGTTTTCTTTTCTTTTCAATGTTTGAATTCAATATTTAATGCCTGTACTAAAGTCAGTGGTGCTTAGATTACTTATTTCTTTTTGAGTGCCAAGGTATTTTGCAGGTTTATTCTGAAATATTAATTAGCAAATGACTTCTCACATTATTTGGCTATTATAATTTAATGTCAATCCAATCTACAGTGAGATCATCTATCAATCTTGATAATGACATTTTGTATATGTTATTTTCTAGATTGATTTAATACTCTAGATAGCTTAATAATATTTTAAAAAATGTAACTGTTTCATTAATTCTCTTCTATCAGTCTGTGCTATATTTAGTTGCAATCTGCTCTGGCATTTATTTCCTTTCTTTAGCTCATGTTTTGAGTTGGCTCATTTTACAATTTTTTCTTTCTCTGTATTTTGAATTTGTTCATTTCCATGTTATTGTCTTAAAATTATTAATATTTTATTCAATACTAAACCTGATTTTAATCTTACTTAGTGTGTAGCTTACATATTTTATCTTTTATCTGTAAATGCATGAACTTGTCTTCCTTACATATTTGATTGCATAACACACCGCTATAATTACTATTTTCATATTCTACTAGCAATTTCTAACACTAGTGTCCATTCTGAATTGTTCTGAATTGTTTTCTCCTTCATTAAAGATCATATTAGTGCTTCTTTTTATGCCTGCTAATCATTTGTTTGGATTCTAGATGAGAAGTTTATTTTGTAATATGCTGGTAGATTTGTGTTCATACATGCACTCAGAAGAACTGTTCCTGAAGAACCTGAATTGCTGATTTGCCCCCAGAGTACTTCTGTGACTACTTACAAACTCAGTTTGGGTCTTAAAATTTTCCCATCTGACATGTGTCAATAAACTTTATTAACACTCTTGTGCATTAATCAGAGTTATGCATAACACTCTGGGGACATTTCTCCATGATCATGTACTTTACTCACATTCTCTAATTCTTGCTATTCTTTTCTTTGAAGTATATGTGTTTTCTTCGCTGCTGTATTCAGCTTCTTTTCATCATTCAGTCTACCGTGCTCCTTCTCAGTTTTCCTTACCTGTTTTATAACCTTGTAATATTAATAAATCGCTAAACTAGGGAAACCCATTTTGTAGCCACCTGTTGCTCAGAGGACTCTTTTATTCATACATCTACATCTTTACTTCTTTTCTGTTCTTTCTATCTATTTCTAAGAGAACAATTGAATTTCCAGTTAAATGTAGAGATTTTTCAATCTTCATTTTAAGTTTATAGTGGTTCATCTGTTTTGAGGCTCTGCACTTAAACTTATGCACAATTTAAAATTATGATATTGCCAAGAGAATTTACAACACTATAATAATGATCACAACAGATCATCTTAGATGCCCATTAATGAATGATAAAGAAATGTAGTGGATGCACCATGCAGTGTTATACATCCATAAATAATGCCAAAATCATATCATCAGCAAGATAATCGGTGGAATTAGAGGTAAATATATGAAATGGAATTAACCAGGCTCTGAAAGAAATACAGTGCATATTTTCTATCATATGGACAATGTAGAAAAAGTTTTAAAAGATGACATGAAATTAGGTGATCCATACCTTGCTTATTATGAGTAGTGCCAGGTTAAGTCTGGGTGTGTAGGTGTCTTTATTCTATACTGACTTTGATGGTTTCAGATACATACTCATTAGTGACTTAACTAGATTGTATGGTACTTCCAATTTCAGACTATGAGGAAGCTCCATATTTATTACCATAGTGGCTATATTAATTTATATTTCTACTAAAAATATATAAGAGTTTCATTATCTTGCATGCTCACAGCATTTATTTGGTATTTTTCCTTGACAGTGGCCATTTGTCAAGAAATGCAGTGAATCTCAGTATAGTTTTGGTTTGTCTTTCCCCAGTGGGAAATATATTGTGCACTTAAAATATATTTTAGCCATCTGCAAAGTATACATTCAGCTCATTTGATAAATTATTAAATGAAGTATTCTGTTGTGAAATTCTCAGAGATCTTTACATAGTCTGCATAGTAGTCTTATATCAGAGAACAGCTGGTAAAAATTTTCTCCATAGTGTAGTCTGTCTATTCACTTTGTTGATACTTTCCTTTGCTGTGAAGCTTTCTACTTTATATTGTGCAATTGTCCTTTGTGTCTATCATTTTCTGAACTATTGGAGTCCTATTCAGAAAATCATTGTCTAAACTAATATTTTGAATGGTTCCTATATATTTTTGTTTAATGAAGTCAATATTTCAGTGTATATTTATATTTAAGCCTGTGATAAATTTTAAATGCATGCATATCCAGGGTGCAAGATGGAGATTTAGTTTTTACCTTGTACCTATGGATGACCAATTTTCCAGTACTCTGTATTAAAGGTGCTGTCTTGGGGCTGGGGATTTAGCTCAGCGGCAAAAGCGCCTGCCTGGCAAGCGCAAGGTCGTGAGTTCAGTTCCTGGTACCGGAGAAAAACCAAA